CTTAATATCATATATATAACTGGAGCTGTTAATCAATTTGGGTGAAGTAAGAATTAGCAGATGGTGAAGTCTAAACTACCGTCAAATTCTCTCCTCATCAAATCTGAAGCTTACTGTTGTCAAATCTGCAAGAACTCATATCATTACATCTCGCTAACAGATGGCATAATCATACCTTATAAACTGTCTGAACAGTAAATTCTGGTCTTAGATAATAAACGATTATCTACGTTAATAAATGTTCACTGGATTTTTTCTTTACCAAATCATTTTCATTTTTATAGATATCTAAATTATTTATGTGGATTAGAGTAACAGCATTTTAAAATAAGGATTGGTTCAGCGAATATTTCTCTTTACGACGAATTCATTTTCAAAGATGTACAGTCGCAAATATATATACCCTTTTTCAGGATGATGATGATGATTACAATAACTACAATAATAGTGATAATAGGTTTCTGTTAAACATGATAGCAGTGAAGTAGAATTAACAAACGTATTAAAATCTTTTAAACAAGGAAAATAATGATAGTTTCATTGTTAAGGGCTTAAATATTCATCATGAAGATAAGTAAGGAAATCATAACTGGAGACGAATGGCTCAGCATGATAAGATAAAATGTAATCAGTGGGATCATAGAAACTGAAATAAACCATGCAATTGGCTCCCTTTATTGAAATAAATCAGTTGGAGGCAGAACGTCTATAGAGAAGATGGAAGGGGAAGCAGATAGCTGTACAGGAAGAAAAGTATGGAGAAGGAAAGAAGAGAAACTCATGAGACCTTAAGACTATGGTTGTATCAATGTTTTTTCGACAACCAATTCCGATTTTCTCAGATGTATGACTATCGCTTCGGCAATGTTGAGAAGATGCAATACGACTGTTTTTGGCAGCCTTCTACTTACCTTGTAGATGACTTTGAACTCACAGTCCTCCTTGACTGAGTGACTTGTGTTTACAAGGTGTTCAATTATTAAACCATTTCCTCCTTCTTTTAGCCATGCCGAGTATTGTTCTTGAGTTTTTTTTAGGATAAATTGCGCATCGAACGACCTGTATTCCACTTCACCGTTTTAAACCATATAATTCAAGTTCATTGAAACCTGAAATATTTAGTTTTGAAACTCATTAAAGTTATACAATAAGACCAGGCCAACCTAAACACAATGAGTTTTATCCCTAGACAGTTGAAACAGATGACCAAACTATCAATGAACTAACGGTTTTGTTTTGTTCCATTTTATTACTGTGAAAAATCATGTTTTTTTAATACATATACCAATGTATATAGTATTCGAAAATTGAGCTTAATATCGGAAATAATATCAGAAATTAATTTACAATTAACATATTTGAGGAAAGTAGAAGGTAATAAGTTCTTTTACAATATAATTTTTCGAAGAATATTGGTAAAATGTTGCGGTGTTTTCCCTTTAAATGATCATTTACAGAGTATTGTATAGATTTATCTAACTAAATTTTACAACTAAGCTTGACAGTAACCATAATGGCTTATTTAAATATCTTAGACTATGAATTCGTAAGCCAATTTTCAATGTTCCAATGTGAATGATATTACTTTTAAACTTGTAGCTTATGAATAGGATATATTTCTATTCAACAATAAATTTGAACTTACTGATATATCTCTGGCTGACCAAAAATTATTGTCTTCATGGATCAATATTTGTTGTCATCAGTTTCATAACATTTTAGACAACTAGTTCTCTCGTTGTTTACCAAAATTGGTTAGTTACTCACTTACTTTTGTCCAACTAATCGAATAAAAAGCAATACAGTTCTTTCTTGAATTCTCCAAGATAGTGTGTATTTTACACTAAGTCAAAAATATCAAATTATTTGATAATATAAAATGTAGATTATCATCTCTGTGATGATCAGTTTTATCTGGAGACACAATTGCTTTCTAGTTATCACTCTGCATTTCTAGCTATTTATTGCAATATTCTTGTACCTTGTATTATGTATGACTGACAGCCTTAATTTGATTTTATCACTGTGTAACACCTACCTATTATAATTCTGTATAAAAGTAATCGTTTATTTATGTTTTGATTTTCTTATATTATGTATTCTTCTCGACAAATCCGTTGTTAAACGTTAAAAAAATATTTATTAAAACTTAAAATTTGTATAAGTTCACCAAACTTTGTAAATTATTTTATTAAAATTGTCATTACTTTTTGACCAATCAATTTTTAACATGACGAGTTCCAAGTAGCACGAAACCCGGGTCTAGGGTTTCCTGTTGACTACCTCTAACCATAATATGAATGTATTTTTAAAATTAAACTTATTAAGTTGGTTGTTACTTAGTTGACAAAAATATAAATGAATAAATAAGTACAAATTACTATTGATGAAAAGCCAAATATTTTCACCACCAAACTACATCTTTAGTTAAGTGATAAATTAATTTAATGATAGACTAGTATCTGTTGTAGTTAAAGTTTCAGTATCATTTTAAGATAATTAAAAGCTAAGAAAAGGAGAAGCGAGGAGAAAGAGTTAGTATTTATTACAGATTGTATTAGACGAATATGTTATTACTGTCATCCAGTGCTTCCAGGTTTTCAATAGCGGTCTAACATTGGTTGGCTTATGATTTCAATAAAACTCAACAATCCCCACAACCCTATATTCATATTTTATTACAGTTTGAAAGTACTGTTCAATCTATTAGGGATTTGGCCAAATTGTACAATAATTATGTTACCACTTAATCATCTCATTTAAATTCAAGTCAATCTATTCACAATTTTCATCACATAATAGCATTGTTGACTTCATTGACTCGATATGTCATATTAAATACAATGGGATTTCATCGAACATTCATTTCAAAGCAAGTTATTATTGAGCTAACAAATCCATTCCATGGTTTTTTTAAATAAATTTCTAACTTTTTCAGTTCATAATAAAAAATATTGTCATAATGGCTTTTACAATAAATGAAATATGTCTATGTTTTATGGATTTTCTATTATTTACCTTTGATTAGTCCATTTTTATGGATATGTTTCCAAGGGAATTCCACAGTTTCGCTGGAACTAGATGAGGAAACTTGACAGAAAATGAGACGGAAACAGAATTACTTAGTTTTTTTCCCGGTAAATATTAGTTCATTCTGTAATAATGCATACACGTAACTTCTAATAGTAGGAACTTCGAAATATTCTTCAGATTCTAGAGTATTTATGACCTCTAAGTTACAGTCCAATGCGTAGGAAGCGTTGTTTACAACTTGTTAGGGATATCAAGGGATTACTCAATTTTTGTTAATAATGTTACAGTCTTACCTAGGTACGGTAACCGCGACTGATTTGTTTCCAATCCAATTTATTGTATAACATGTGCTCTTTTCTGATTGTCTTTACTTTTAGTTCGCTAATATTCTGCATACTTAAAAGTCATGCTTTTGTTATTAAATATACTGAATTTTAGTATTTCAAACTGTTCTCCAATATCAGGTTCTTGCTACGCTTCATCCATTTCCTTCGCCAGCGCCTAATTGTTTGAGTGTTATATGTTATCTGTCGTTATTGAATCCATAATAGAAACGTTCGTATTAAAAGTTTAATGGTTCTTTAATTAGCAAATACCGTAGGTCAGTCAGAAACCCTGATAGATATTGGTCTCTTTCTTTTAATTAAAATTTAGCGTAAAATATGTTTGATTGGTTTTTAATTATTAAAATTCACAATCAATTTGACAGTCACATACACATGATCACATGTGTTTACTATATTGACGTAAAATGTTTAATTAATGGGTGTGAATAATGGAGTGATTCGTTGATTTACATCTACTGATCTACTTTCCATTATTAACAAAATTTTACTGCTGTTATTATTGCTAATACTATCCTGTTCTTTTGTATGATAATTGGGTGAGGCTATAATTCATGGACGACCTTTGAGCGACGCTAAAGTGACCTGAGAATGTCCGTCTACTTACTAGAGCTAACTGAGGATTATGAAGCACTTTGAAGAATAAGGATTATGGTTTACAATTGATGGTTAGCATTAGGAATTAGATTTATGGTTTTCATCATGAACTGACGGAATCTAAAATGCCAAAACGCTATCTAGCCAAACGGATGAATGAATTTCTCGCCAAAATCCAAAACCTGTTATACCAAATCTGATTGGTTCGTCCATAAATTATAGTCTCTCCGATAATTGTATTAAATAGTATTGTGTTATTTTCATTTTGTACCGTGATAGTATTTTCATCTTGATATTACATTGATAAAATTCCAAGGTTTAAATAAAAAAAATTATACGTGTATCGAATAGTCAATTGTCTAAAGTGTACAATTGGAAAGGTTTTACTGTAGTGTATTCTTTTTAAAATCCACTATTGTAGTACTTACAGAAAAATTTGTTCCATCAGTCTGAGAATATTGATAACTAGATTTGTTTCTACTGAGTTCCATTTTTTGGATGTGGATGTTTCATTAGCACTGAATTTCTGTGAAGAAATCGTTCATAAATAGATCCTTAATCATTGTCTGCTGTTAGCCAAAACTTATTTCCGTTTATTTATTTCCATTAGGAATTATGCATATTAAGCTAACTAACCCGGAAAACATTATTGAATAACATATATCATTAGATGGTACCACGCAAAGCTACCTTATTGATTTTATGAGTTATATAACATCAGTTTTAAAAACAATTTATCGATTGTTAATCGAAGAAACTTTCAACTCGGACTGTTTTTTGGCTAAACAGCACAATAACTTTATAGATGGTATTTAGTTGGGAAGCTACACACCTATGAAAAATGTTGACATGAATCATGTACTATTGAAATAGTTTACGAATTTTCATTGTATATTAATCCTAAGTTTTGTATTGTGACTAGGTAATGCATAGTTATTGCTTTTTAGTTATTAATTTAAGTATATTAAATCATTTTACCATTCAAAAAAGAGTTTACCATCTTAAAAACCTTTGTTTCTGTTTCAGACCTGTTTTACACCTATGTGGTCATGATTTTGCTGGGTATGGAGTGATGTGGAAAAAAGGAACTCTCTTTTGTAATGCTGCTTTACAGCTCACTTCAACATTTCCGTCTACTGGTTTACCTAGGCGTCATTCCAAAAATCAGCTAAACACAAGTCACATGACTCTAATGAGTATTCTTATACGCTTGGTGACTTTCGAGAACCCCCACTGTACACAGCGAAACCCAATGGTCGACCCCGACCTCCAAGATGGCAACGAGGTTTACCAAAACAACTATCTCGTTTATTTTCAACTAACCAAAGTTCCACTGGTTGTTCTTTTTTCCGGCGTACTCGTACACTCAGTTCTGTTGTAGTTACACCGACACAGAGTTCAAAAGCTGCAGTAGCTCATACCAGCGCTGATATTGGATTTATATATGATCCAGATATGCGTGCCGGGATTGGCGCAATGGCTGTTAACGATCCAACATGTAGTGGTAGTACACATATAGGATATGCTAGCTGTGGAACTGGTTTATCTGGCAGTAATGTATGCTCTTCTGCATGTCGTCGCAGTCCTATCGTTGTAGATGTTTATGTTGTCAATGATGATCAAAGTGTAATCCTTCCCCATACGCCAGTTCTCTAATAAATATATTAAATACTCAGGAATGTACAATTCATGATTAATCACAATTATTATTATATTTCATTTTACTTATTCATAAAAACATAACTTTATCGATTTATAAAGTAAACTGTTGTAATATTGTTCACACATATCCATGTCATTTTCGAATGCATAAACTTAAACAAAATTGTTAGGAGAAATAACAGGAAATGATTCTTTTAATTTGAGTTTATCACCTTACAACGTTGTTTAAAGAAGCAGCAAAAATGTAACGTGAGTTGAACTTCAAGGGTAGCACACGTTTCTCTATCTACTTTACAGATATAATTTTTATCTAGTTAACTCAAAGTATACATTTTTTTACAACCTTATGTGTGTATTATCCATAAATAATTAAATCTGTATATTTTTTTAAGAAAATATTTTACAAGCAAACTAATTCTTATCTAAATTATTTTTAATAACTGTTAAATGAGATAAATAAATGTATTAAACATTTTCGTAAATGGTGTTTTGAATATTCTGGGATTCAAATGAATATAAAGATATCCGAAAAGGTTATAAGTCAGAAATGACGTAATGAGTTCCTGTTCTTTGGTTAATTACTTTAGTTTATGGTGTTTTATGACACGAAAACTAATATAAATACAGTACAGTATTAAAACTTGAAAAAAGAACATTCAGAGGTAAATGTGGTATTTCTGGCTTTTTGGTTTTCTACACGTGATCATTGAAATTCTATGATTTCGGTGCATATGACACTCATAAGTATGGTCTTATTTTCTTGGTGATGAACAATAACAATGCTTGGTTTAATTAAGGTAAGCAGATTCTTACGAAAAAGTATACTGTCATGTCCTTGTAGATATACAAGTGAAAATTTGAGAAAACAATCTGAAGTGAATAACTAAAGAAGATAATGAAGCCACTGAATAACATAAACTTGACTCGAACGTTTTTGTTTCGGCTGTGTTCTGCATACATATAATCCTTACTAAGTATATATATATCGCTTGTAAATATTTTCTTAAGTTATTTGATTGAAAATATGGTGTACATTCGAATTGTAATGTCTTAATTATTAATAATAGTAAGTTGGTTGGCCTGTGTTATTCGTTATAAAATTATCTTTACGATTATACGGTTTAGTCTTAAAAGCGTTCACTTACTTGTTGTGTCACCCAACAAGATCCAAGTAAAAATAAAATCTGAATGTTTAATGTTATAGTTGAAAAATTAACCATTTTGTGAGATAGCCGAAACAACATTAACAGTACAAAATCTTAAAAAACAGTAAACGTTCATTGAATATCCATAAATATTGACGGGATATGTTCGTAATTTTCATTTTTGAAAGGTTATGATGTGAGAAATGCGTGTGTCCTTTTCTTAATATCTTACATGGAACTTGAATAATATTGTGGATATATGTGCAACGATTCGATCCTCTAATCGGAATTCTGAACCCTCATTATTATTAAGAAAATGCATTATACTTCTACTCCACGATAAGATCAAGATAAAATATTGAAGGCTCTTCCTATGAAAAGCTTAGGAGTCGCAGTAGCTCTTGAAAATGAAGTTTAGGATATAACTAAGTGACAATGGTAGATGGTCGAGTGATTTGTTGAAGTCAGACATTAACACCGTTGGATGCTGAGTAGTCTAGAAGGTAAATGTCCACGCGAAACTGAAGTTCCTGGGTTAGATCCCTGCTTGCGGGAACGTGAATGCGCATCACTTAGGAGCCAAATACTAGGACGAAACGGTTGTCCAGGTTTTCAACAATATAACCCTATACTGACGATTTGATTATTGTTACTAGTTTTAGTTATTTCATTCTTAAGTCAGTAATCGTGAACTAGAAGTTATTGGTCTATTCATGGTGGATCTGTCTTAGTTATAATTTGTAAACTTCGAGCTTATTATCACTTCTCAGTGGTTTCTCGAAATAGAGGCTTTGTGTTATAGGTAGTGGAGCGTCAATTAAAAGCAAGCTACCTATTTGCATAATATCTGTAAATTGAACAAACCCACAAGTATCATTATTAACTTGTGATTGGTCTGCTCAACTACAGTATTTTACGCAAGGTTGTTTAAAACCCTAAATATGTTTTCATCAGGGCAGTCAAACCCTTTTTAAGGTGAACATGACAAATACCTATGTAGAAGTAACCAGTTCATATTTATTACAAAGCAATCAAATTAGCCAATATGTAACTTCATCGATTTTCGTTATGGTCTTGACAACCGCATCCACCCAAAACTAGTTCAATGTGAAAATATTAGTATAAAAGTTTGAATTTTATAAATGGATAACAATGTTGTGACTGTTATATAAGCGATAAAAAATATGTACCAAGCATACAATACATTAGAAACTAATAAAAATGCATAATAGTCGAGAAATTTGTGATTAATTTTGTTACAAGATGTCTTCACATATAATTGATAAAATATCAATTTTCTTTACCACCAAAGTAAAAACATTGGAGTTATTTGATTGTTCCTCCTGGTTCACTTTACAAAATTTATATAATCTGGAAGAACATTAAACTATTACATCAACCTTGTATACAGCAACTTATGAACTTTTGTAAATGTTCGTTTGTTTTTCAAAAAACTATATTTATTACTAATCAAAGAATTTACACAAAATGAATTAGTCTATCCATTTCATAAACATTTGGCATAATTCCAAGTCATCAAATTTAGGAAAATAAAAACAAAACATCTAACTAAATTTAAGTGAAACTCAATCTTTTAGGGTTCATTTTACCTGTGTGAGAAAAGATAAATTTTTCCTCAAAGCTGTCAAGAGAACTTTCCCACAACCCTCAACATTACTCAATTTTCGCTCAAAATTCTGCCAGGTTGACGGTTGTTTTCTTAGAGAGACCCACTTTCTGCAAATGTTTATGATTTGCTTCGATTCTAAATCAAGTGTCGCTTTAAGAAAACTTCAGATACCCACTTATCCTTTGTTTCAACTCAGTAGAGCTCAGTGACAATTCTGATTTGCGTGCAAACAAGTCTTCAACTGCAAACATTTTGAATCCAATGTACAGAAATATTAATGAAGTTTTACTTGGGTCACGTTTATCTGCGGTCACTAAGATTCAGTAGAATAACAATTAACAGCTTGTGCGGAGTGTCCTAACTAGAAAAAATGCTAAATTAGAGTCTCATGTTTTTCAGTTAGTCGGTGAATCTAGTTGTTTTTGTACATTTCTCTTAATAGTTAGCATGGAAATATAACTGGATTGAAATAAATATTCTGATGAAACTTACAAATTAACGAATGAATGAGCTAAACATCTTCAAGTTAATGAAGATTTACAAAACATTCAAGAATAATCGATCGATATTTACACAAAGGTAAAATAAACTCTAAAACTTATCTTGGATATGTTTTCATTGGACTTGGATGTAGTAAATATAAAGGAATCTGAAAGAAAAAGAGAAAAACGAACACAACGACACAATAGGTTCAGAAAATCAACTTAAATTCACAACAAAATCAATCTATAACATTTGACAGAAATACGAATGTGAAATCATGACAATCTAACAATCGGAACTGAAAGTTGATACAATAAAATTTTAATTTGGTGACAGGTGAATGGACTAAAGATCATCTCATTTGGATTGATTAATAGTGACGAAATTAACATGTTTGTTGGTACGGTTTATAAATATTCTGACTAATAAGTACTTTAAAATTATTTATGTAATTGTATCTTAAGTATTTCTATATTTATTTAATTTGTATTTTATTCATTCTTAAAGGTTAGTGATAACGTCATAACACTTGTATTATTCCTACAGAAAAAAAACAATGATATATTTGCTGATTCATATAACTTTGGTGTATATATTTTAATCTACATTCAACTTCATTGAATTAACTTGTTGCCTCGTTTTTTCTGGTAATATTTGCATTTTCTTCCCCGCCCACGTATATCATTTATCACTGTTTTTTCAGCTCAAATGTCTACAAAACCACGTGAGTCACTCATGTGCTCTTCGTGTACATGTAGTACATACATAGTTTAACTGGCACTAGTCCAAGCATATTATAGTTTGTTGATAAAACACCTACGCTTTCTTTTTATCCTCCCTAGTCATTACAAACAATTTGCTGTTTCGCTTTTATTTTGTATGTTCAGTTGTCAAAATTCTGTAACATATGTGTGGTTTTTAGTATTCCCGATTTTTCTTAACGCCTAAACCAAAATTAAAATCAATAAATGTATGTTTTTTAAGGGGTATAATCAAATGAAGTCATAGTATCTCTCTGTAGGCGTTTTACCTCAGTCTGTTATATACTATATCATGGTACATAACTTCAATTACATGTTTAATAAGTTGTATTGTGGGATCATGACAACGTGTTTTTCTATGTAAAAGTTAAGGATACAATAACTAACTACCATAGTTTTTGTTTAACATAGAGACTAAATCAACTAATGTCACTAAAAAACATAGATTTGGAGAAAACAACTACAACTGTATCGTTTCACAACTGAGTATAGCAATCCTTAAATCATTTTTTTCCATTAGTACGTTGAAAGTTCCAGCCCCTTTCCACCTATTTCGATTTGAGAAGATAGGCCGCACCATTTTCCCTAACTCAAGAGTAGGATATGATTCAAAGCTGAGCGTACAAACCCGCACTTCCTAAAAGAGTCTCGCAATAGTAACAAACTTATTTGAAAATCTTTAAAACTTTCAGGAAGTATCTGGTTGCTGCTTAATTATTTTATCAATTCAATCAAGAACTATTCATTATCCGTAGATATTCATCTAGATTACAGTCTATTAGATACTCATGGTCTTCATTTTTTGATCACTGATATTTACGAAGATTTTCTGTCCAACTAAATGTTGAATGAAAGTAATCGTCACCTCAATAATAAGTCCTGAATAATTTAAGGGATGTAGCAAAATATAAGTAGATTGATATATAGGAATGATAATTATTATTGAAAGAAAACCTAAGCCAGGATAAAAAATAT